TACGATTTCCTCCTATACTGAAGGGGTTTGGTATTTACACTCTTTGGCATTACCCCCTTCTTCATCTGTTCATTTGCATATATTTGAAGAAATGGTGTAGAAGCAGCTGTAGCTCTGAAGCCCCTGGCCAGTCTGCCAAACCCACATGTGAGTAACCGAAGCAGCTGCCTTAACATGATCTCACCTCACACTTCAACTGCACCATCCACGAAATCACACCATGCAACGTTGATGATGCTGCATAGGATGTCCTGTCAAGCCTTGCTTGTCAAACACCAGAAGAGCCACCAGTTCTCTGCATGCTGACCATTTTCAACATGAAGTGATGTCAGATGGGCTCAAAATGCTTTGAGCATGGTGGTCAGTGGGTTTATCTCTTAAGACAAGGTGATTTCTTTAATCCATGTGTCATATATAAGCCATGAACATCCTTACTATTAAATGCCCTTTGGTGAAAAAGTGTTGCTGTTATAGAACACTGCTTTGTTTTGAAATGCATCATTTTTACTTCATATTCTATACTTCTCAAAACCCCAGATTTCTGTCTCTGAGCTGTGCTCATAAAGGTGGTTAACAGCTTTACTTCACTTCTACATATGCTCAGTTTAAATACTGTGAGATAAATATAGACATGAAGGCATGTCTGCATCAATGAGGAACAAATTTCAGCCTACAAAGGTACAACTTCATGTCTTTACAAGTGCCTGCAAATGACCTCTCTGAAAATGAAAGCTGTTGGCAACCTCGGTGATTGGTATCTGTTGGGCAAACTGGTTGTTCTAGGAAGTAGAAGGAAGTAGTGTGTCATATAAACGTGCAGGTTTATGGAATGAAATTCTAAAACAAATATGTCTGATTTCATAATTGCTTTGTTGTTAACTTACTTGTTGAATTGTATCATAAAAAAGCGCAGTGACAGTCAATAGTAGATTTATCTTTGGACTAAGAATCCAAGATTTTATACAAAAGGCAACAGCTGCACCAGGTTCCTTTAAAAGAGCTGATGACCCCTCCGGTGCTGTGCTAACCTTCAGACATAAAGCACATTTTCCTTTCATTTTAAAACCTGTTCCTTGACATGGATATTTTTGGTATAAAACTCTTAAATCAGGAGCTTCCTGCTGCTTCCCAGCTCAAGCATTTTTCATCATTTTACCTTCCTGCTATAATCTGGAGAAGGAACTATTTTCATAGCTGCCTTTTTATTTAGTTCTATACAGTGTCCACTGCTGTTGGGCTCAAGATTTTAACTCTATTTTCAACTTATTTTTCAACTATTTTCATTTAGCTTTAAATCTTGCAGGAAGCTATTTCATACTAGATTTCAGGTTTCAGCTGATAGGTTTTGGTGACCTTAAAGAGGAAAATGTGCAGGCTGCCAGTCCCCCAAACACTTCGAATAATTTGAAATAGAAATGGTTTGGAACAGCTGACACATTGAACTTTGAATATTACCAGCTAAGCATGCTTACTAGCTACTTTGATCAAGCTCTTTTTCCTGACAAAACTCCCTTTGAAATGAATAGGACAGAGGTTCCTTTCACTTCAATGGGAGTTCTCAGACATGGGGAGAAAGGACGACTTCATAACCTTTAAAAAGACTCCCCTAGTCCATTCATATATCTCCGGGAAAGCTCAGCACTTTTCCTTGTGCTGAAGTTGCTAAGCCAGCCTTCTGGCTACTTTTAGGCTCCCTTCTAGTGAAGCTTTGCTTAAACACAAGATCAAAACACTCTATAATGGGGCTGCTGCTACCGAGGCAGGAATCCTGAATGCACAAGGGCTCTATCAAGTGACATCGGAAGTATTTGTTAGCATAGATTTGCCAGCATCACTTTGCTAATCACATCTTCTAACCTCACACAGTGCTTCTCTGGCACGTTGCAGAAGACAAGTCTCCTACACATTCATGTCTTGATGAGAATTTTTGTGTATTTGCACTCATTAGCACTAAAATTCTAGTTATCTTTTAACATCACATAATTGATTATGGTTTCAAACACCCCACAAGTCTGAACAACACCATGACTTTTCAGAGGCCATTAACCACTTCTAGAATCTCTGCTCCTATACCATCCATGCTTTTAATTTTTTAGCACTTCTACTTATAACAACACCCAAAATAAAGAATTATTACATGCCCATGTCACAGTAATGTACACTGAGATTTCTTGATATAATCTTCTACAAGGGATGATTCTGCTTGGTGTAAGACTAATGCAGTGAGATGTATATTATTAGCGAAAAAATATAAAAACAGAAGAAACTTGCAAAAAGCCTACCAGAAATAATGACTGGTTTAGGCAGCTATTGTGAGAACAAGCATTCCTTGGTTTAAATGTCACTGTAGAGAAGCAGAACCAAAACCAAGGTTGGTAAAGCACCCAAGCCTATGGAACTCTTAAACTTTCACTGATAGATGTGTTCAAATGAAATTTGGGTATTTTTGGTCTATCCAGTATGCAAGTGTTCAATTCCATTATCTTCTATAGAAAATACAAAGACAAGTCAGAATTCAACCAATGAACAAGTAATTTCATCTGAGACATTGGTTGAGATTTGTGCATCAGAATTATTTTATCTATAGGTCAGGTACAGCTCACATTTTTTTTAGAGCTGAATGTCTTCAGAAAACCTGTAATATTTTACAAGATGAAGAGACCAGATTATGTACTCAAAAGATGTATGGTTCTGGCTTAAAGCTAAGCTAGTGTAAGTTGAAACTTTAGTTCTGTCCACATTCGGCTCTGTGCAACAGCTTTTTTGAGTACAGGGCATTGCTGAAAAAAAACTGCATTGCCTGTAGAAATAAAATAATGGGATGGGTTTAGGACTAAGAGCCACCTTGAGGGTAAATACGTTGCTTTTTTTGTTTTTTTAAAAGCAGTGAAAAAGACCAGCATATGCACACAAAGGGCAAAGGTTATTAGTATCTATTCAGTTCTGCTAACTGAAAAGCAAAAAACATCTTATGGCAGTGTGTAAAATGCCTCTTTCTTGCTAGAAGGGAAGCAGAGAGAGGAAAGTCTTTCTCGTTTTATAACAACTTGAGGAAGTATTTCAGGAGGAACTGCCTGTTCCAAGCAGCTAACCTAACCTTTTCACATGCATGATATCTGTAAAGCAGGGCTGTAACACCATCTGTGTAATGATGCTTAAATGGAAAATTCAAGAAACATGAGCTGAAAATGCATTTTATTTACTGGAAGCGCAACTCATGCCACTCATATGCTGTTTGTCAACAGCTGTAGGGGAGGCTCACACTTGGGTGCAATTTTAGATATCTGTGCTAAGATGTGAAGGTAGATGCTGGTAGAACTATAAATTCTAAGCTAGAAACTATATGACTTTTAAATATTTGCATGTTAACTCTAATCCAAATCAGGAATTGTTTATTTTTACAAATAAAAATATTCTAAGGGAATTGAGATAAGTGCAGTCTATTAGTTTTGTTCTCTGTTCCTTTTATTTTTTAAGCTTAATTTTTTCCTATGCTTCTTACTGAACATTAACCTGATGCTTTGATAGGAGTTGCTAATGTAATTCCAGATATCTTTTGCAAGCTGATTTGGGCCCATGGCTCATGAATGTGATGTTATGGCTGCTTTTATTTTTTCACCCTCCTGTGCCTTACTGCACTTGTTTCATCTTCCTTATCTCTCTGACACAATTCTTTGTTCTTCATTTTGTAAATCCTGTGTTATGAACTGTAGTTGTATTTACTGTATAAAACTATATAAATAACATGCAGCAGGTAACTAAAAATGGACAGCAATGGAGGGGCTGAACCTATTTGGTCAAGCTTTTGGGGTTGTTTTTGGGTCTTCCCCCCCCCCCCCCTTAAAAAAATATTAGATAGAATTGGCACTGTGTTTCAGATGGTAACATCGTCAAGTTTTGCCTGCCTAATGGTTCCAGTTTGTTTCAGAGACAGAAGTTTGCATTGACAACTCTAAAAGCTCTAAGGTGGAGATGAGAAAAAGCAGTTGGCCTCATCTCAGAGTGTCAAAATAATATGGAAGTGATGATGTAATTGAAGTACTAAAGGTCTTTGGTGAAGGGCTTCCCAGTCAATACATTGAAGAGTGGGAAACTGTGATTGTTAGACGATTACAGCTTTGTCCACACACAGAACCTGGGATGATACTTGCCAAATCTGGTGCGTCGAACGTTGCGTCCTCTGAAAGTGGGCTGAACTGATCAGGAGTGGGACACTTCCATAGCAGAGGAGCATCAACGTGCATAAATCACGCAGCTATCCCCGAGTAACTCCAGACCTGTGGCCAAGTCTGTAATACAAACTTCTGCGCATGAGAAGCACCTTATTTTAATGTACATGGAACTTAACCCCTCTTCGAGGCTCAGTCCGTGCGGAGAGCCACACAGGACATCACTCCTCGCGGGCGGGGGGACACAACTTGACAGGTATGAGTTTGTTCCTGAAGTGTTGGCTTGCATCAGTAACTGAGGTTTAATTCTCCTGATGGGTTTTTATCGCTAAAACTTTTTCAGTTCAAAATAGCTAACGATGCGGGCGCTGAAGAGAGGAGCCTGCGGCCGGAGAGCCGGCTCCAGCCCAGCAGAGGAGCCCGCCCTTCCCGCCTCGCCACGGGGTTACTCTCGGCGTCTGTCACCGGCTCCGGGACGGCCGGCAGCAACCAGCAGCGGCCGGCAGCGGCGGAGCCCACCGCTTGCAGCTACCGTCCACCCCGGCACCGCTTTCTCCAGCCAGAAGCTCCTCCCGCCTCACCCTCCCAGTGCTCCGCCAGCAGCGGGGAGCGACAGGGAGACGGCGGGTCCTCACGCAGGCCTTCCCTACCCCGGCCGGACCCGGCCCGCCTCAGACAACCGCGTCCACACCACCCTCCTCAGCCTCCCGCCCTCAGCTGCGCGCGCACCGCGACTGCTCCTCCACCTCCTCCCTCCAGGCCTCTCCCCCCTCTTCCCCCCCCCCCGAGCTCTCGCGTTGGCTGCCGGGATCGCTGGCCGCTTTGCTTAATGTCCGCCATGTTTGCCATGGCGCAGGGAGCGGATCGAGCGAGCCCGGCGCGGATCTAGGGCTGCGGGGCGTGCGCTGTGAGCTACGGGCGGCCCCGCGGAGAGCTGTTCCGGGGCGGCGGGACCCTCCATGGTGGTGCGGGCCGGGTGCGGGAGTGGCTGGGAGGCGGCGGCGAGGCCGCACTGAAGGCCCCCCCGCCCGCCCGGCCCCGGGGTGTTATTGTGAGGGGGAGACAATGAGCAAACTCTCCTTCCGAGCCCGGGCGCTAGACGCCGCCAAACCGCTGCCCATCTACCGCGGCAAGGACATGCCCGACCTCAACGACTGCGTCTCCATCAACCGGGCTGTGCCGCAGATGCCCACGGGGATGGAGAAAGAGGAGGAATCGGTAAGGGAGCGCGCAGGGGGGGCACCATTGTTTATCAGACACCCCCCTCCCCTCACGGGAAATAGGCCATTGGCATTCGCCAAGCGCACTACGCACGCTCCCCACCGCAGCGCTGCACGGTCCTGACGGGGCCCTGCGCAAAGAGCGCAGCGTAAACTGCTGTCCGACGCCGTAAGCGGGCCCTGCTCCGCCATCTTCTTTGCGTCCCGACTCGCGAGTGTTTTGATTAGTGGGGGGAGGCCTTTACGCTAGCGTAAGGAGGAGGAAGGCGCAAGATGCATCTCTGAATGAGCGAGCGAGTGCTGCGGCCGCAGTTGGCGTAGCGTGCCTTTGCTGCCGCCGCTTCCCTTATGCGTGGGGAGCGAAGCGGGAGTGGAGCAGAGCGGGGCGGACCGGCGGGAGGGCGCGGGCTTGCGGCTGCCGCTTGGCTCGAAGTGCTGGCTCGCTTGCCGTAGCGGCCTTGCGGCGGCTCTGGGAACGGAAAGCGGAGGAAGCGGGAACGGGACGGCTTGCCTCTCCCTGAGGCAGAGCGTTGCAGAGTGCCCCGCCGGTGCACTGCCGGCAAGCTGGGCGCTGAGAGGCTCTTGGGGACGCTGCAGCGACAAGCGGCTTTTTGCCTCTTCTGTACCTGCTGAAAGCAGAGGACGGTCGTGGACTGCACTTTGCACTTGTACACTGGCATGGCAGGGGGCTGGAGTGGACAGCGAGCAGCTGTGGCTTGTAGAGCTGCTGCAGGAGTAATTCTCGATAGTTGTAACGAGTGAGCGCCCTGCTCGTACTTTTTCAGAAGAGGTGCTTTGTGCTGCCCGGTGTACATACCGTGTCAAATGCATCATGTGGATGTGTTGCACTGTTAAGACTTTTAAGCGTTTAAATTTTTTCTAAATAAACTAGCAAGTGTTAAAAATAGATATGTGTTTTTTTTATTCTTTTAGTGTTGGGGTAAAAAGGGGGGAAAAACTGTTGTCCACTTAAAGATAAGTGTTTGGGGCTCTTGTTGAGGGGTACGAGAGCACTGCTTTGAAAATGCTTGCCCACCGTTCTTGTGTTTTTTTTTGAAGGTACTGCTTTGTATTACTGATCTTTAAGCATTGACTCTTACTCTCTTTAGAATTGTATAAGGCTTAGGTACAGGCTGGTGTCTAATGTGTCTGTACTTGTATGTAGAGCCGATAGTAAATGCACCCTCAAGAATTTCTTCAATGAATCCGTGTCTCCGCCTCAGCCAAGCCTCTAGGCATGTGGATTGGCTTTTCAGATGTTACAGCTGTCAAAAGAGGCTCCGTGCTTTCCTGATTGGTTTTTCTCACTTGACTGTGGATATTAAAGGCACCCCCTGTCTTACTGTTGTTGGGGTTTGTTAGTTTTTATTTTCTCCATTGTTTTACAGTGTGTAATACACTGTCCTTAAAGCTTCTAGTACTTCCCGAAAAGTAAATTTCTGTTAGAATCTGGGAGTGTATCTGAAAGAAACAAGTGTGGTATTAATGAAGCAGTCTTGGAAAGTAATTTGATTTTCAAAGTCTACCTTGCAGTCCTGTGCTTGCATTTAATGTTTATAAAATATGCTTTATTTTTCACAGTTTTGTGTTAATTTTATAAATCATGTTTTAAATAAACTTTTTAATGGAAAATTGCTGTAAGAGTTCAAGATGCCTGTGGACCGCTTAAATGAATGTGAAGATCAGGTTTATATTTCAATAAAAATGCTTTAGTGCTGTATGAAAATGTTGCTTTTCTGTAAGATTATGGTTTATTTTCTCTGTGCTGAGATTTGGCTATATTTGGTTCATTATGCACTAGTCTCAAACTGAAATGGTCATTGAAGTGGTTTATATGCGTAGTGCTAGATACATCAGCCGGACAAGGCTATAAACTTCCTGTTAATAGTACTGCCATGGAGTGACAGTTTCATTCATGGGATAGCCCTTTTCCCAGTGTGGCGCAAATAATTATTTAATGTAGATTTCTGTGGCGGTGTGTAAAGCCCTTCTAGGAAAAGCTGTGTGGAGAACAGTAGTTACATAGTTGAGAAATATTTAAACAGCTTTTATTCATAGTAGTTTCTGTGATCGATGTGTTGTATTTTGAAAGGTACTTTTGAGGGGAGAGAGAGATCCACGTACTGTTTTTTGACATCTCCATCACTTGAATGTGTCAAGGCCTCTTTTTATCAGAGGCTTTTGCCAGGGGTGAATCTTTGTGGAAGGTGTTTGAACCATCAGGGTAGCTCATGATTTACGTGTGCTGTACAGACACAAAGCTTGTGTTGCTCTGGCCCCAGTGTGCTGCCTGCCTTCCTGTATGCAACCTAGGTGAAATCAGGAAAGTCTTGTAAGTACACTGTACTACTGTATCATGAGGTCGGAAATCATCTTCCAGAGGGCTGACTTTCACTGAGAATTAAGTATTTACAGGTTTACAGGATGTAAAATGGCTAAAATTGACATAGCTGGTCTGTTCTTTACAAGCTAGTCTCGCTAGTACAGGCATGTGATTTACTTTGTTCATGTTTGGTGTTTTGTGTAAACAGAAATTCAGATTTTGGTCCGTTCAGTTTTAATGTGGGTTTTTGTGTGTGGGTGGTTTGTGGCTTTTTTTTTTTCCCTAACTAGTAGTATTGTTTGTAACTATAAAGGCTTAAAGCCTGTGAGGCCTTAATGATTATCACTCATTTCTACAACTATTATCAAAGTTATTTGGACCAAGTATTAAAGTGTCATACAGTCACTGCAGTCCCAAAATGGACAACCATACACACTGCTAGTCATCCCACTAAAAGTATACTACCCAGTTCATTTGTACGAGCATCTTTATTTGACTTTTCTTTTGGTTTGATCTTGATGAATATTCTGGAACAATTTCTGTTTAAGTATCTTGGAGATTTATATCCACTCGTAGCATTTTACAGTTCAGCAACTCATTTCTCTCACTCGAAGATTCCAGCTGTGAAAGAATTAGGCTTCTGGCCTGTAGCATGTTTATGTTAGCAAGTGTTTGTAATTTACTCTAAATTAAACCTGAGGAAGAAAACTCTGTGGGTTTGTTTTTTGTTTTTAAACTCATGTGAGAGAGTGGTTAATATTAAGCAAAAGCAGGAGGATGACCATGAGCTGCAAAAACTGAGCAGGGACATCTTGTATTATTGTGGTTTTTTTGTTTTTGTTTTTTGTTTTTTCCTGTGATGAGTAAGAGTTGTATTTCATAATATGAATGAATTCTTTTGGCTGGAAGGGGAAGAGTTGCAGAATAGATAAGCCCTGTTTTTGTTTCTTACCACACAACTGCATGTTTTTTTATTTGAATGCTTATTAATGGAGATGGGAGAAAAATCAGGCTTAATAATGAGGCAAACTGAGGCTGAAGGCTTTTGGAAGTAAATTGACTCAAGTTGTTAGTGAGCTAAAAGCACGTGATAATTGATTATACTGAGATTGCCTAGTCGAAGCTGTTTGAACATTCATTTCAAAATTCTTGTTTGTTCATTTACAGTTAAGTTTGACATCACATGGCAAGGGTAAGGTTATAGAGGAGAAAGTGCACAAATAGCAAGCTAAGAACATGGTTTAACCTTATTAAAATGCTGATGGAGTGTGAATGAAAAGTTACTTTCATTCTCAGTCCTTGAATAATGACCTCAGATGATCTTTCACTGATCGTTAAGTAGTGTTCAGTTTGAGCATTTTGACAGATGGGAAGTAGTTGACTTGAAGAAATTTACTTTTTTCTTGCTTTTTCTTCTGTTCATACTCCATCTCTTGGTTTCAGTTCCTGTTGTAATGCTGGAAACTTGAAGTGCTTGTCATCTGGCTTGAAGGCATCCTGGAGCTAGTGATGCTTCTGAAGCAGCATATTTGTTCTTTCAAAGCAGGAAGCTTTGCACAAGTCATAGTGTTTTGTTTGGATATTTTTGCTGATACAGTGTAACATAATATTTTTGATGATACAGTGAATTGGGGGAGTTCAGGCAGGAGGACTTTGAAATATGTACATAACACACATGAGATTAATTTAATGGCAACAATTTTTAAATAAAAGTTTGATATAACCTGGCCCTACATTCACCTTTCCTTGTACACATTCTTATGCATAGACATTTTTGTATGTGTGATTTCTGTTTATAACATCAAATAATAGTAACTTAATCTTTTTGGAGGGTCTTCATCCTGCATGTATGAGCTTAAACATGTTGGTGCTGGCTGGGGACTTCAGGGGTACTCTGCTTTTGTCCCTTCTGCCTAGTGTTCAAATGGCACACATTTTACAGAGCTTGCATTGTTTTGTTCATCTCATTAACCAATGGTATCACTTACTTTTATAAAGGGATTCATGGAGTTGTTCACATAGTAGAGCTGATGATCAGCATAAAGACATATAGTCTTGTTTGATACATACTCTGTATATTGGAATTGAGTTTTGTGCATCTGTGCCACCTGCTTGCTTTCTGCAACAAAGAGTTTGGAGTCTGCTTGAATCTCCCCTCTCTGCTCCAGAGACACTTTCACGTCATTATTGGGAAGCATGCATGTTTTAAAGCTGGTTTTGTACATGGAAATGTTAACAGATAGGAAAAAAATATATTCATGCTATGAAATGCATTTTTAATCCTAAATTAGTAATTATTTATACTAAATAGTAATTATTACCGCAAGATAGCTTAAAGCATTTAGTTTGAATTTTGTGATGATGATGGTATTTTAGAGACTAAGTTTTGTTCTCAGTTGTGCTGTTGACATCCATGACTTCTAGGTACATGCTTAAATAAAGGTAGTCAGTTATTACAGACTCGTACAGAAAGGGTGAGATTGGAAGGGATCCTGGAGGTCATCTTGGACAGCCCCTGCTCAGGCACGGCAGCCTGAGCCTGTTGCCCAGAACTGTGTCCAGATGGCTTTTGAGTATCAACAGGGTGGAAACTATCAAATATGTGAGCACTTAAGGTACTGATCACGAGTACCTACCTGCTACTGACTGGTGCACTCAGGTTTTAAAGCCATAAATATACATAAATGACTCCCCATGTGGTCAGAACCTAATCTAGCTTGAAATTTGTGTGTTCGATGTGCCTTCATAATCTGTGGTTGAAGCCTCTAAGTTGCTTTCAAATGAGGGACTGTGTAGAAGAAAGAAGCAGCAGGGCATCATTGTGTAAAATAGAAGGTCTGCAGAGAATAACTTTATTCAAACCATGCAGATACTAAAACAAAAATTCATCAAAAAAGACTTTATGGAAATCCAAGTAAGAAACTACAAAGATTGTATTTCCATGCAAAACTAAGTGAAATCAAGACAGGAGACTCTCCTTAGGAAAGAAATGTTGATTTGATTACAGTGGACTGGGTTATGTGTTGGGGAAAGATAACTCTCAGTAGAAGTTTATTTCTTGGTTTGAGTTCAGCATCTGTCTTTATTTACTTATTTTGGGTATGTTTGGAAACTGCTGTGTGTAGTCTTTATTTGTCAGATATTAAACCTCAGTTCTGTTTGAGACCTCTTACCCTGTCTTCAGGTCCTGTGTTTTTCTCCCTCCCTTGGAGAGCCATTGCTTCATGCAGTGACATTCCTCACAAGTGCATATCTGAAGTCCCATTCCCAGGCATTATTTCAGCTGTGATCCTCTCTCCTTCCTGTGCTTTCACTGGCTGTGTTTTTTGTTTGTTTGGTTGGTTTGTTTTGTTTTGTTTTTTGTTTTTTTGTGGCTACATGAAAGTTCCTTCCAGTCCACTGATGGTACTTTGTAATGTCCCTTTTGAGAATGATGTATCAGACTTAACACCAAATAGATTGGATTGTGTTAGCTTGATGCTCCAGTGGGGATGAAAATAAGCTGCAGATAAGTGAGGACCTCGTCTCAATGCTAGAGTAGTTGAGCATAGTTAACTGATGAGCTCTTAAACTGGGTAGCTGTTTGTATTTATGTGGCTGAAGTTAAGCAATACAATCTGTTTTATGTCTCAAACTCGGGATCAGTTTATAAGGGTTTAACACATTAACACCTGTCAGCTAACCTGTGGCAACTGCTTGTGAATATAAGCTTAGCCTGTGCAAACACAAAGTAATTTATTTTGAAGCATGCTTTTAAGGTACATCTGACCCACAGTAAGTGTGGCCTGCAGCTTGTAGGGGTGGTCTGCTCTTTGGAGTACTGAGGCCCATCTGAGTCACTAATGGGGGGTGAAAGCCCACCATGGAAAGGTGAGCATCCTGCTGTTTGATGAGAAATGGTAGGAGCATGTGGGGATAGAAGGTTTGGGAATGGGGAAGTATGAGCCTACTATGCTTTTGGTGTCATCCTGAGGTTAGATGGGTTCAGCCCTATCTTAACACCACAGTCTTAATTTAGATAAGGTTGCATTTTTCTGCGGCTAGTAGTCTGCCTGCCTGGGGTCAGTCAACATTGGTCTATGGAATCTGTCCTAACTTGTTTGGGTGCCAGAGTTCATAGCAAAGAACAATGATATCTGTGTGGACGATAATTGAGTGTCACACCTCTATTCATTATGCAGGAACTTTCCCTTACAGGTACCTTTCCTCAGGATAAGGTGCAATTCCATGACAAAAGCTTAGGAGAATGTTTTGAAATTTGCTTCTCTGGTCTGCCGCTTAGCTCTGGAACATCTCAGTTGTAGGTAGCATTTTCTCCTTTTTCTCCAATTTAAGAAAAACTCAGAAAGAAAGGCCCCAGGCAGCTTTAGTTGTATTTTGAATTACATTGTTCCAGATTTCATATTGTTCCTGCTTGGCAAAATTTAGCACTAGTCAGCTTTGTGCAGTTTCTGTGCTGATTGAGATCAGTTGAGATGTCCTGTTTGAATAATTTAGATCAACATACATTAAATTAGCTTATATTGATCAGGGTTTTAATTACTTTTTATAAGAAAGACCATTTTGATTGGTGGTAGACATTCAAAAGGTTTTGTAAATTATTTTGCCAACAAAGCTAATAAACTTTGCCTTATTTATACTTATTTGAAGTTATGCGCCTTAGCATATTTATCATTCAAGCTGTTCAGCTTTTAAAAAGATAAATAACACATTTAATATCTGCAAACATAAATCACAGTTAAACCTTAGGTGTCCCAAAAGCCACTGGTAGTGAAGATCAGTTGTAGAACTGAAATTTCTCTAACGAGAAGAACTGAATTATTGTGTATGAAAAGGAGTAAGGAGTAGAGAAGAGAATTCTATGCAACTGTAATGTCAATATAGACTCATAATTTTGCATTTAATGATGACTAGTTCTGGTTCAAAGGAATGGAACTATTTTGGAATATACTATTTGAAGGTTTTTATTTTAATCTGTGTTGTAAATTCCTATTAATATGTAATAATCACTGTATAGTGCGACTGAAAGTCTTGGCTTAAAATACTGTCCCTGTTCATAACAGAAGTGCTCTGAATATAGGGGAGCAGAAGTTTGCAGGACCTCCCCCCCCAAGTTCTTATTTTTCCTAATTTACTTTGAAATTTTAATTATGATTAGTTCATTTACGCCAATAAAATGCCTAATCCCTTAAAGTAAAAGGGGAGATTACCACACTGGATTCTTCTTGTTTGGTTGTTTGGCTTTTTCCTGAAAAAAAAAAAAACCAAAAAAAACAAAACAAAACCACCATAAAAAAAAAACACAAACAAAACCACCCCCCCCAAAACAAAAAACCCCAAAAGACAAAAAAACCAGCAAACCCCCCCAACAACAAAAACAAAACAGCAACAACAACAAAAAAAAAAGCCCACAGAAAAACAACCCAGTGCTTATTTCTTCAGAAATAAGAACAATGAACTGCCTGAGGTAAGAATTTTGGACTTTATTAGATACAAATATGCCTTTGGTTTGTTGTTACTTTAAATGCACACTTCATAGTGGAAGGAGCTGATGCCAGAGTTGTATCCCCTCAAGTAAGTTACTTAGCAAAGAAAAATGCCATTCCCTGTTGGTAAATACGTGAGATAAAACTGGTTTGCTTTTGCCTGAGAGACTTATTTCTCTGGTCTCTGAAGTTTCTTTGCTTCAGTAGAATTTTCCTGTGTAAGGTATTTTCTCATGTTTGTGTCCTCTTCACTTGCAACAGTTTAGAGCTTACCCAGCTTACCTTGCAAGGCTGATCTCCAGTTTGTTAAATGTCATTTTTTCACCAGTTTTCCTATTGCATCATGTCCCCTCTGACACACAAGTACTTCATGTATCAGCTCTTAGCCAATGTATTTATAAATGCTTCCTCCTCCCTTTTCCCTAGTTGTTTGCTGTTGCTTATGTTTTAATTTATAATTTGGTTTTCTTAGCTTTCTGCCATTTTTATGGCTGTAACTCATACTTTGTATGTGTTTGACCAGTTTGAGTTATGTAACAAAACCTATTTTGAAGCATCCTGGTAATGTCCGATTTCTGTGTTCTAAATTCAGATATAAACAAAATACTGGATGTCTTGTAGTGGTATCCAGTGACTACTAAGTAAGACAGAGACATGCTGTTATTACAGAAAGTTAAAAAGCAGTAATACCTGTTTCTTGAGTTAAAGGTATTTGGCTTAAAAGGGAGTTTTGTAGTTAGTTTTTCATAATTCCTATCAATTGCTGCATGTGTACTTGTGTGTTATTTTTTTTTTTTTTAACCTTTTTATAAGTTGTCCTAACTTTAGAACTGATCTCTGGTATCTCTCTTTCAACATGATGGATCTCCAGGTTTCAGTACTTTGATGAGGACACTTATTTTAAAAACCCTGTAAAATACAAATTCCCTTGTATTGGCTTATGTACCAAAATCCATAAGAACTTTGGATCTTAATCCTGGAAAGAAAATGTTACATGTAGTGCATTGAGAGAGGGATAAGTGCTGTAAGCAACTTGTTCTTGAATGTTAAAGGTACACCTGAAACTTTCCAGGAAATTGCACTGCTGACGAAGATGAAATTAAGGGGCTCATTTGATGCCCAAACTCTTGGTAATGTCACTGCAGCACTAAGGCAATAAGTTCTACTTTGACTGCAGAAACTTAACTTAAATGCACACCTTTCATTGAAATATCCATACATGTTCAACACCTCTTGATCTTTCACGGTTGTACCCAGCGTTTGGCCTTCTGACAGGTACCAGCAAAACAGGACCCCACCGAACTTGCGTGGTGTGAGTGAGGACTGATGTTTTGCAAGAACAGGTCTTCAGTATTAAAGAAACACAATTTTGTTGTCAGCAATCTTGGAGCAAGTAGCCTCAGGCCTTGTAACGGCATGAGGCCAGCGAGTAGCTTCAGGTGAGGTTTCTGTGCTCGGGCCAGAAGCAGTGTCTTACAAAGTTGTTGGATAATACAAGTCTCTAATTGTGGGAAGAAGTGAAGCAGCAGCTGCTGCTACACTGGGAGACAGCTCCTGTAGAGTTGGTTGGAGGATTTCCACAGTCTTCCCTCCTGGTCACTCTTCCTCCCTTCTGCAAGGAGCACAGTTTGGTGACTTGTGGTCACGCAAAGGTTTTGATGAATGGAGCCAGGAATCAAACTGAGTTCGGACTTTGTCTATAATATTTAATAAAGGGGAAAACTAGTTGTTGTGGAATCTCAGCATTTTAAGATACATTGTGGGGTTAACTACATGAAAAATAAGAGGGAATATTTATGTATGTAGGTGTTTACTTTTCCATCCCAGTTTGTCTGACCTGGGACAGTCAGGTTATGCTAATTGAAGCAGACTGTAAAAAAAAAAAAAAGGAACTTCTCAGATGAAATTTGTTGACAGTCATTTCTGTGTCAGACTGCATTTGTTACGTGGTGAATGATACCAGTGAATTACAAGGAGCTAGAGGAAGCTAGTGCTTTCTGTGATTCGTGAGAAGATGTTACAATATTTGTAACAGTTTTTTCTCTTAAGGTCATGGAAAGGTATCTTGAGGAAAACCAGGTCCTGCTTTCAGGAAATTTTGATTTCTCGAAGTACCCTATACAGCCTTTCTGAAAGGAATTTTTAATAAATCCAGTTAATTTGTTGTTGTAACAGTAATTCTTTTTAAAATAATTCATATTCATGAAGACTGAAAACTTGTATAATTAAATGTAGCTTTAAAATATAGTGCTGTGGTTTGTGTGTTTTTTAAGAAATCTAAGCAGTTACAGGTTTGCATCAATGATATTTACAGAAATCGTGAACAATCATTTCTAGTAGTGACAGATTGCCGATGTTCTTGATAACATTCAGTATGACTGGCCCATTCAGTAGGATAATACTTGGGATATCTCACAGTTGTTCCATGTCCATTGCTACACAGTGATGTTGTTACAATGACTGAAATTGCATTGTGTGGTTTTTTGGCATTGAACTTATTTTTGTTTGGCGAGTGCTTTGGTTGTGTGGGGGGGTTCTTTTTGGTTTAGTTTTTTTGTTTTGTTTGTGTTGGGTTTTGGTGTTTTTTTTCTTGGTTTGTGTTGGTTTTTGTTTTTTTGTTTGTTTGTTTGTTTCTTGTTTGTTTGGGGGTTCTTTTGTGCTGTGAGATTAACTTAAACCCCGCAGAAATGATTGTGACACGCTCTGGTCATCTCCCTTCCCCTATACCTCCATCAGTGTCTCATGGGCTGATTTCCACTCTTATTTCCTAACTTGCCTGTAGGTGTTTTGTAGTGCTTAAGTTGGCTTTAGTTCAGACTGCCAGAGAGGAAATGAAGGCTTTTTTTTTTTTTTTTTATTTTTATAAACTGGGTTTGTCTTCATTTAGGTACATGGCTCCAATGTAGACCTGTTCTGTATCTAGGTGCGAAGTGTCATCCAGGGATGGTGGCCTCAGGTGTGTGTTGCTAGTGGCCCTCCTGTTGTATTGTTTCAGCCTGTATCAGCATTCTTGAGGTGATATTTAGGTGACTTGGTTATGATCAGATGATTTGTGTATGAAGTATTCAGAGTAGCTTGTCTTTGGCTTTTAGATGGTTGTAGCCATCTGAAAGAAAACAGGTTAGGAATGTCATCTTGGAGAAACACACTATGGTCAAATGTGAAACTGAGAAGTGGTTCCATGAGCCCTTTCCACTTGTAAGGAGGGCCTTACACTATACTTTCCCCTGTCTCTGGTGGGTGTTCTTGAGCTTCCTTCCACTGAGTGTCAAACCCTGTGGGGAAACTGAGAGGAGTTTTTGTCCCATGGAGCAGGGGTACTGTAGAGCTTTGGGTGTGTTGGTTTGGACACTGTGCATCAATTTTTGTTGTTGGCCCCACTCCCTGCTTCACAAGTAGTATATCCTTTTAAGAGGACACTGTCTCAAGGGTGAAAATTGCTGTGGTATGCAGACAAGTTTCCTTGTCCAGCCTGCAGAAAGGACAGCAGGTCTGTAAACAGGTCTGCAGGTAGGCATCTTCTTTCTTCACAACCCCCCTCTCCCCGTTAAGTCCTTCAGCTACTTAGATCCACTTACAGTTATGGTAATTTCAAGGCAAGAAATCAGTCCTGCGTCAGGTAATTGGTCATAATTTTGTTTATACTAAGTTGACAAGTCCATAGATCTCTTTTTGAAAGAAAACAAACAAAAAAGCTTTGGTATTGAGTTACAAATGCCTCATCACCTTGGTCCTTCTTGATAGAAAATTCCAAACCCTTTCTGCACTGAGGAGGATAAATATTCATTGGCTGTGTTTTTTTCTGGCAGTTAAGTATTGAAAGGGGTAACCAAAGAAGAAGACCAAAGAGGGTGCTTGAGTCTGTGCTTTTTATCTTGGAAATCTTGTAAAAGAAAAAAAAAAAAGTCGCTGTGTGTGTGTGTGCAAAGAGAGAGAGTAGATAGGGCTGTGGCTTTAGAAGGGGGAGAGGCCTTTTATCAAAGTAGCTTTTGAACTTCTATCACCGAGTGTTGTTGACTGTTACTGGCTGAGGTTGAGGCTTTGCAAGATGAATCTGTGCATTTCAGAATAAAGTTCTCTATTTTTTGTTTCCGAAGCTCCATATGAAAGATAAAAATTTCAATTTGTATTTCCAAAATTAAATTTAATGTTAAGAAAGTAGCATCTCTAGATTTTTAAGTTTTCCTTATTTTCTTTGCTTTAATTCTGTTCCTGATTGCAGGTAGTTTGGAAGGCAGACTTCAGGTTGGTCTAGAAGTACCTTATTTTGAGGTAAAGCTGTTAATAAATTCACTTTTCTCTTATACATATA